AAAAAAAAAAAAAAAAAAAAGCCTACACTTAAAGTAAGCTCTGTCTGACTTTAGAAAGTCAAGCTTCTCCCTGAGAGAGAGAGTTAAAGGGAGAAATTATTTTTAGAAATTGTGGTCCTTAAAAGGTTGTAAGTCAATTTAGGGAAGCCAGACTCGTAGAAGTGTTTCCTGTATCATTAAAAATGAGAATCTGTTGGGGCGCCTGGGTGGCTCAGTCAGTTAAGCATCTGACTTCAGCTCAGGTCATGATCTCACACCTTGTGAATTCGAGCCCCACAGCGGGCTCTGTGCTGACAGCTCAGAGCCTGGAGCCTGCTTGGGATTCTGTGCCCCTCTCTTGCTCTGCCTCTTCCCTGCTCATGCTCTATCTCTCTCTGTCTCAAGAATAAATAAAACATTTAGGGATGCTTGGGTGGCTCAGTCGGTTAAGTGTCCAACTTCAGCTGCAGTCAGATATCCCTGATCTCAGGGTTCTTGAGTTTGAACCCTGAGTCGGGTTCTGTGCTGACAGCTCAGAGCCTGAAGCCTGCTTCAGATTCTGTGTCTCCCCCTCTCTCTGCCCTCCCCCATTCATGCTTTGTCTCTCTCTCTCTCTCAAAAATAAAATAAACAATAAAAAAAAAAGAATAAAACATTTAAAAAAAAATGAGGATCTGTCATCCCTTAGCTCTTTATCCAAAGGTTGCCCTTCCTTTGATTTTGGGGTAAGAGTCCTTCTAAGAGGTGTCATAGGTAGAAGTCTGCTTTTTCTTTTTGAAAACTATGTTCCAAATAATTTGGTAATATCTATGTAACAGACACAAGTACTCATTTTATAGTGCATTGTACCCATTTATAGTACTAATCTGCAGTTATAGAAAGAAAAAATATTATAAGGAGAAAGAAAGAAAACTAGGATGAAATACTGATGATTATAGGAATATATGACATCTACTAAGAAGAGATGCTGGGCACATTACTGTATACAGCAGTTTCCTGGCTCTGGAAAGGCGAGGATGAACAGTCGGACAGTTCTGAACCACCTTCCCTTCAGAATCTTTTAGCTTCTTGTTCCCTTCCCTCCTTACTCACCCTCACTCCTACCTCTGTGTGAATATAACCCAGATCACTTACAGCTTAACCAATTAAAACATTCTTCTCTTTCCAGTTAAAAACAAAGCAAATTCACTATGGCAAATGTGTAAAATGCTGATAAGCAAAAGGCAGTTAAATTAATCCATCTACTTGTAGATATTTATGCTTTCCTTCCAGACCTTTTTATCTGTGTGTACACACACACACACACACACACACACACACACACACACACGTTTTTCTTCATTAAAAGTTGGATCATACTGAATTTTGTACCCTAAATTTTCACTTTATAATGTGATAGCAATAGACAAAATGGGCATTTATGATGGCCCAAGAACTTTGCTAAGGTTTTAACATTTATTGTACCATTACATTCTCAAAGCAACCCTGTGAAATAGGCTTACTATTATTCTGATTCCACAGATTTAAAAAAAAAAATCAGGCCAGGAGAGAAAGTGACAAGAATGTATCACACAGGAAGTAACAAAGTTAATGAAGCTAAACCCATGTCTAACAAATCTTGAGCCATGGCACTGATGGTGATAATGATGGTGAGAATGATTAAGATACAATATCTGACATTAACTGAGGTCTTCCTATGTACCAAGCACTGTTCCAAGTGCGTGTATTACATTGTTTAAACTAAAACTTCCATGAGGTCAATACTCTGGTTGTTTCCACTTGAAACATGCAAGCTGAGAAATTAAGCGCTTTCTCAAGGTGGAGTTAGGGATACAACTGTAAGGCTCAGAGTCTCAACTCTACTATGCTGTGCAACCTCTCTGCCTCCATTCTATAAACCTGCCTCAGCCAGAAATGCAACTTGTTTCTCTCCAACTCCAGAACCTGGTCTTCACAAATGATACTGCTTATTCTCCCATGCCCGTGTATATATAACTATCATTTTTAATGATCATGTGCTTCAGAATTAGAGGGCTGCATCATATTTAACCAATTCCTCGTTATTGAATGTTGGGTTGTTTTTTATTTTGAAATATGAATACTGACCCTTTATCAGATATGTCGTTTGTAAATATCTTCTCTCATTCCATAGTTTTGTTGATTTGTTCCTTCACTGTGCAGAAGCTTTTTATCTTGATAAAGTCACAATAGTTCATGTTTGCTTTTGTTTCCCTTGCCTTCAGCAACATGCCTAGTAAGTTGCTCCAGCCGAAGTCAAAGAGGTTGCTGTCTGTGTTCTTCTCTAGGATTTTGGTGGTTTCCTGTCTCACATGTAGGTCTTTCATCCACTTGAATTTATTTTCATGATTTGGTGTATGGTGTAAGAAAGTGGTCCAGTTTCATTCATCTGATAAAGGGTTAGTATCCAAAATCTATAAAGAATTTCTCAAACTCAACACCCAAAACACAAACAACCCAGGTAAGAAATGGGCAGAAGACATGAATAGACACTTTTCCAAAGAAGGCATCCAGATGGCTAACAGACACATGAAAAAATGCTCAACACCATCATTACCAAGGAAATACAAATTAAAACCACAATGAGATACCACCTCACACCTGTCAGAATGGCTAAAATTAACAACACAAGAGACAATAGGTGTTGGCAAGGATGTAGAGAAAGGGGAACCCTCTTGTACTGTTGGTGGGAATGCAAACTGGTGCAGCCACTCTGGAAAACATTATGGAGGTTCCTCAAAAAAGTTAAAAATAGGACTACCCTATGATTCAGCAATTGCACTATTAGGTATTTACACAAAGGATACAAAACTACAGATTCAAAAGGGTACATTGTCAACATTATCAATAATAGCCAAGCTATGGAGAGAGCCCAAACTATTTGAGAGAGCCCAGATGTCCATCAACTGATAGATGGATAAAGAAGATGTGGTATACATATACAATGGAATATTACTTAGCCATCAAAAAGAATGAAATCTTGCAATTTGCAATGACATGGATGGAGCTAGAGGGTATTATGCTAAGTGAAATGAGTCAGTCAGAAAAAGACAAATACATATTCTTTCACTCATATGTGGAATTTAAGAAACAAAACAGATGAACATATGGGAATGGAGGCAGGAGGAGAGAGAGGGAAACAAACCAGAAGTGACTCTTAAAGATACAGAACAAACTGAGGATTAATGGAGGGAGGTGGGTGGGGAGGGGCTAGATGGTGGATGGGCATTAATGAAGACACTTGTGATAAGCACTTGGTGTTGAATGTAAACCTAAAACCAATATTGCACTGTATGCTAACTAAAATTTAAATTTAAAAAATACAAGTAAATTTGTAATAAAACTCCTATTAGCAGAAATAGGTCCTGTAGTTTATCTTTATGATAAATTACCATTCAAAGAATTCCTGGTCACTGGATATTTATTTACGTGTTAATGTGTTTCCTCCTGCAAATTTACACTGATTTCTGTTCATTCATTCTGGAAGTGTCTGAGGATATTCACTTCCCTGCATTTTCAGCAGGGCTGAACAATGAATATCTTTAATCTTCCTGAAAAGATGATTTAAAATGATCCCTCATTATGATACTGATACTACACTTCTCTGACTTATTCTATAAATTGTCTGTGCATGCTCTTTGCTCATTTTCTATTAGGGTGTTAATATGTTTATCCTATCCTGATATTTCTTATTAATTATATAAAATAATATTTTATTAATTATATAAAAATTCTAGCCCCTTATATGTTCAGAATATTACAGGGTATCCTATGTGTTATAAATATGATATCCTAATTTTCCATTTACTATTATTCTTATGACATTTTTCATATAAAGAACTATTTTCTAATATCAGCATACCATTGGTCTTTTTTATAGTTTTTACCTTTGATGCTATTCTTAGTGGGACCTTCTTACCTCCAGATTTTGAATATGATTACCTAATATTTTTATTATTGTTATATTTTCACTTATTCACTTATATTCACTTTATATTTATATATTTATATATATTTATATATATATAAATATATATTATATATTTATATATATTTATATATTTTTACTTATTCACTTATATTTTTCCTTATTCCAGTTACACATAATCCTGACTAAAGATGTGTCATAAGGATCTCACTTTGGTTTTTGTTAGATCATTACATTAAATAATTGTTTTGAGACAACATATCAAATAAGACCCTTTCATATTGATTTATAGTATGTTCATCATGAACTAAATATCCTTATATACTAGTGTCTACATTATGTGGTTTTCAAATCTTAATTGTAGCTTTATAATAATATTGAATACATGAGATGCAGGTCTATGTCTTTGTTTTCAGAAAACCTTTATTATTCACAGATTTTTTTGGTAGATGAAATTTAGACTATCTTTTGTAAGTTTCACTCATTATTTCTATTGCATTACATTTATGGATTAGGTTTTGGGCCCTTGCTTCTTCTTTATTTCTTGACCGAGAATCTAATATCTAGGTGTTCTAAAACCTGAAAACCAAATAATGGAAATCCAGATAGCAAATAGACACATTAAAATGTGTTCAGGCTTGTTAGTAGTCAGGACGTTGCCAATTTAAACCACAATGAGGGGCGCCTGGGTGGCGCAGTCGGTTAAGCGTCCGACTTCAGCCAAGTCACGATCTCGCGGCCCGTGAGTTCGAGCCCCGCGTCAGGCTCTGGGCTGATGGCTCGGAGCCTGGAGCCTGTTTCCGATTCTGTGTCTCCCTCTCTCTCTGCCCCTCCCCCGTTCATGCTCTGTCTCTCTCTGTCCCAAAAATAAATAAAAAACGTTGAAAAAAAATAAATAAATAAAATAAACCACAATGAAAGATCAGTACGCACTTAGTAGACTAGCAGAATTCAAAAAGTCAGCTAACACCAAGTGTGGGTAAGGACGCTGAGAAAAACAAAACAAAACAAAACAAAAACCCTCTCATACACTGCTGGTCACGGTGTTAATTGGTACTACCACCGGGTTAAATATGTGAAGATGCGCGTCCTATCCCCAGCATCTCCCCCTGCAGGAATATACCCTACAGATGTGTGGACTTCAAGGAGTCTTACACGTATAGGAATGTTCATGGCAGCGTTGTTTGTAACACTCCCAAGTTGAAAACACCCAGATGTTAGGTATTCTCTTAGCACAATGGCCTATTTATCCCTCAGAGTTCTCTGCTACTTCTCTGAGATGCCTGTGGCTTGTCACCCAGGGGAGTATCTTACATGACAACTATGAGGTACTGATAAGGGAAAGGGAAAATAAAGCCCATTCCATCCGGGGGCGGGGGGGGGGGGGGGGGGGGGGCGGACTGTGGGGTCAGGGTCATTGTCTCCTGAACTGCATGGAGACCTAGGACTTGCAGGAAGGATGCATTCACGCGTGGGAGATGAATGTACGAGGGAATGAGGTCTGCCTAGTTCTGCTACCACAGGCTCTTCCCATTAGGGCCAGTCCTGGGCCTCGTGACGTCAACATTCTGTCCACAGGATTTGGCTTGGGACTTGAGTACCTGGGTAGGTCAGCCCCGGTGCAGGCCCCATGTCACACCGGTTTCCTTTGTCCAGAGGCAACACCTTACTACCAGAGGCTCGGGTCAGCTGTGTATAGCTTTTGACAAGTAAAATCCCCATTCCTATGAACGTTTGCCTCTCCAGAACGGGCACTGATGTTTGGAGCACTTTCTAGGTGCCAGGCACTGAACTGAGATTTTGGCATCTCATTTAATCTCTCACCTCTAGAAAGATCTCCTGCTTATTATTCTGACCTTGCTGATGAGGATTTCTCACGTTCAGGCAGCTGACTCGTTCAAGGTCAGAACAAGTGGTAAAGGCAGGTTTTGAACCCAGACAGCATGGCTCCAGAGCTAGTAATTGCCACCATTGCTTGTTTACTTGACTCGTCATTATTTTTTCAACACGTTTTGTTGAGTGACTCTGCATGCCACGTTCAATATGACACTAGAAATGTAGCGGTGAGCAAGCCACTCTTGCTTTGTGCCTCATCCCTCACGAGTTAGGTGTGTTCCTGGAAGAGTATGGAGAAGGTCCACAGTGTGTCAAAGCGCTTAGAGAATGCATAACTAACTAGTCTATGGCCATACCACCCTGAATGCACCAGATCTCGTCTGATCTCGGAAGCTAAGCAGGGTCTGGCCTGGTTAGTACTTGGATGGGAGAATGCATAACTAGGGGGTCACCAAAGGGGGTCAAAATTGACTGTAGCTTTGCTTTGTTGTTGAAAGAGTCCTTTCAAACAACCATGTTACTAAGTGTGAGTTTCACACCTAATGAAAAATCTTACATCGTCCAGAATGTCGGCCTCCTCTCTCCCGCTCCCTCATCACCTGTAATAGCAGGCTGTAAATGCCGTCCTTGTGTCTTGTAACGACTCTGAGATGCAGAGGTAATCCGACGTATGGTGCGCCAAATTCTAAGTGCGTTTGCAGAAGTAATACAAATAAAGATCCTTTAGTACCAACCTTCCAAATCAAGACAACAAATACCATCTTCTCGGCCGTTTGAATTTTAGCATCATCTGAACATTTGAGGCCTTATGGGATCCAATTTTTAATAGGTATATGATATAAACGAGAGCAGAATTTGCCCATCAAGGTCTGTGCTTGCCCGTATGTGGGTTGATGAATTAGTCTACTGAGACTAGGAAATTAGACATTTTTGCCTGCTGTGAGCAATTGAGCAGTGGATGATAAACATCCAAACAGTGTTTATTCCTTTATTTACCCTGGTAATGTGCCTTAGGAGGAACATGTTGGGAAAAGGGATCCGTTAATGGATCAGGGAATAAAACTGACCTGACTTCTCTATGTTTTCAGCACCTGAGATGTTCAACTCCAGAAGAGAAATGGGCTATGCCTTTGCTGTTGACTGGTGGTCCCTGGGAGTGACGGCATATGAGCTCCTCAGAGGCCGGGTATGGGAGAATGGCAGTTTTCTTTGGTTCCTCTTCCGTCAAGTTTCCTTTTTAGAATGGAAGAATGGATTTTTTTTTTTTTTGCTAAACTCAAGCAGTTTGTTTGCAGGGTGAAAGCATTATTCCATGTGATGCTTGGGACTTCTGCACATTCACTCTCCCACATATGGAGCCAAGCATGTGAGTTAGTATTAAACGCAGATAAAATGAAATAATATGGATATTATAAACTGCCAGGGAGGGAAAATCAGTGCACCTCACTAAATAGCTTGTGTAAATATATTTGTTTGTTTAAAGAAAATCATTTGGTGTGACAGTACAGGACTCTAACATAGACATGCTTCCCTAAGGCAAGTGTGAATTATTAACACAACACAATTCATGCCCTGTCTTGTTGGTTCCTCTCTGTCATCAGGCCCCTGGGTTCTGAGTTCAGTGGAAAATGAGAGTGTTTCCTTTTAAAGAAGACTTTCCTTAAACTAGGAAAATGCCTAGAGAGAATTTTGCCAAGAGAATATTTTTTCCCTCCCTCCCATATCATATTACCTCTGTGGTACTTCCCTGTGATGTGCTGTATTAACACTGTCAGATTCACTTTTCTTCTCTTTTCTTCTCTCCTCTTTTCTTTTCTTTTCTCTTTTCTTTTCTTTCTTTCTTTCTTTCTTCCTTTCTTTTGTTTTGCAAAGTTGAAGGAAAGTTACTATTAGATTGTTGAATTTAAATCCACTCTGTCAAGTATTGCTCTGGTGAGTTTTTCAAGGCCTATCAATTTTTATGTTTTTATCTCTTCTATATTATTAGATTACAAATTCATGAAAGGTGAAACATGTACCTTATACAGTTTAGTATTATTCCCAGTATTTAACTTTAGATAGATACATAACAGGTGTGTATTGAATGAATGGGGAAATAAGCCACTACATATCAATCTTGCCACATTCTCAGAAAGAATCGCCATGTAGGCTACAGGTAATTATGTTTCAAAATGCAGCTAATCACATTTAATTGCAACTATCAACACAACTAAGCCACAGAGGAAGGGTGCTAAACAATGATTTCGTCTACATTTACAAATTCTTGTTTACAGAAAGATACATGCCTCAAAGATATGCTTGACATCTCCGTGGTTTCTGAACTTCATTGCAGTCTTGGTGAATGGGTGGGTCTCAACTATTAACCTGCTTGGTCTGCCTTTTCTGCCTTTGTGTTATCCTTGTTAGGTTCTGATGGGTACACACACAGTTTTACACTAATTGTACATCCTTAGCTGCAACTAACTCTATTGCTTTTGTACTCCTGAAATATGACTATAATCACACCTCATTTTCTCCCATCTAATGTTTTACCTTTGCCACCTTATGCATTCTTCATATTCTTGCTTTTATATGCTGCCAAAGAATTATTTCATATATCCTGTCATTGCATACTGTATTACTTTATAGTATATGTTCCATTGATTTAGGGGTGTTCAGTCGATATAAATATTTACAGGTTTTGTAAATAGACTATAGGCTTCACCAATGTAGAAATAATGTGTCTTATTCTTCATTGAATCCCCAGTGCCCAACAGAGGTGCTGGAACATCATGAGCATTCAATAAATATTTGGAAAATGAATAAATATACAATTCTGGTAGCTGATGAATTAACATGGATTTTAAATTTTTGAACTAGAAAAATAAGTTATTTTTTAGGCAAAGATGATGATTGACTATTTTTAATAAGTGGACAGACCATGAGGATGTTTTTTAATACTAGCTTCAGTCACATGGCCTTCTAAAGTAAATGGAAAAAAAGCCCACTTAAACCAGTTATTTGCCTGTGGCGTTCATCAGTTAATGTATTCATTTATCGAATCATGTTATGTTTCTAGCTGTCTGAGAAACTGTAAGTTTAGAAGCAGAAATGAAGAAAATTAGAAAAAAGAAAAGATGTATGTGTGCATGCATAGAATCCTGGAAGCTGAAGTGTGCCAAACGTGTCCCAGCTCTTAATGGTGTACATGGAATGAGTCACACGTAGTGACCCACATTGCCCTTGGCTAGCAAACAGCCAATAAGCATTGAGTATGGTGACCAGGTACCTAGCATTTCTTTTCTGAGATTGAGTTCCATGGGTTATTTCCACTATATTGTTACCAGGACAAATGAATTACCTATAGTCCTTTATTCAGTCTTGTGGGAAGAAAATACATACGACTGTGTATGTTTAGACCTTGGATAAAAGAAATAAAGTCTGGCCAGTCTCCTTTTTAGAGGTCAACTCCTAGCAGTCTGTGGTTCCCCAAGTAACTTGACGTTGATATACCATGTGCAGAGTTAAGCCTTTCTTCACATCACCTCTATCCATGACTCACCTTGCTGTTCACCATTGACGTTGGTATCCACCCTTGTTACCCCATGTTCAAGAGTGATGAAAATCTCTCTCCTGCATTGTGTGTGATATGTGTTAGCTGCTTTGTGGAGAATTTTACCCATGTTACGTGATTCAGTTTTTCCAACAATCTCACGTGGAAGTTTATTTTACAGATAAAGGAGCTTCATCTTACAGACGAAGGAATTGAAACTCCAATCGAGTGCCTTAATTTAGCACTCAATTCCTTTTTGCCTTCAAAGCTCAAACACTGAATTACATTACCTTTTTTTCTGCCAAGTTTTTATTTAAATTCCAGTTAGTTAACATACAGCATAATATTAGCTTCGGGTATAGAATTTAGTGAATCACCACTTGTATACAACACCCAGTGCTCATCACGAGTGCACTCCTTAATATCCATCACGTATTTAACCCATCTCCCCACCCACCTGTCCTCCACCAATTTGTTCTCTGTAGTTGAGAGTTTGTTGCTGGGGTTGCCATTCTTTTTTTACCCATTATCTTCATTTGTTTTGTTTCTTAAATTCCACATGAATGAAATCATATGGTATTTGTCTTTCTCTGACTTATTTCACTTAGCATGATACTCTCTGGCTCCATCCAAATCTTTGCAAATGGCATGATTTCATTCTTTTTGATGGCTGAGTAATATTCCTGTGTGTGTGTGTGTGTGTGTGTGTGTGTGTGTGTGTGTGTGTGTGTATACTATTTCTTTAGCCATTCATCAGTCTGTGGACATTTGGGCTGTTTCCATAATTTGGCTATTGTTGATAATGCTGCTATAAATATGTGGGTGAATGTATCCCTCCCAATTAGTATTTTTGTATCTTTTGGGTAAATACCTAATAGGGCTATTGCTGAGTCATAGGGTAGTCCTATTTTTAACTTTTTGAGGAACCTCCATACTGTTTTCCAGAGTGGCTGCCCCAGTTTCCACTCCCAGCAAAAGTGTAAGAGGGTTCCCCTTTCTCTGCATCCTTGCCAACACCTGTTGTTTCCTGTATTGTTAATTTTAGCCATTTTAACTGGTGTGAAGGTATAGCTCATTGCAGTTTTGATTTGTGTTTCCCTGATCATGAGTGATATGGAGTATCTTTTCATGTGTCTGTTAGCCATCTATAATTATGTTACTTTTTTTTTTTTTTTTTTTTTTTTGAGAGAAAGAAAGAGCACACGAGCAAGGGGAGGGGCAGACAGGGGGAAAGAGAGACAGAATCTTTCTTAAGCAGGCTCCATGGCTCTGTGCGGAGCCCAATGTGGGGCTCGCTCCTACAACCCTGGGATCATGACCTAAGCCGAAATCAAGGGTCGGATGCTCAACTGACTGAGTCACCTAGGCACCCCCTCCCCATTACATTACCTTTAAATACTGATTCATAACAGGAAAAAAATAAACTTCTATTTCTTCCAATTTGTTTCATAGGCCCACAATCACTTATTAAGTATCTTGAAAGGGCCAGGCACTTGATAAATATACATGTCCATATTAACTGTCCCATTGTTGGTTAATCTAATATGGCAATTTTGTCCATTCAACAAACATGTAATGAGCACCTGTTAGGTCCAATGGACACACATATGAGTATGGGATAATCTCTGGCCCTAAGTAGCTCACAGTTCGCATAAAAGATAAAATCCCACAAATCTAGTTTATGAAATAGAGAAATTAATATAGGTAAAGACTGCCCTCTAGTGGACAGCTGTGAAAAATATGACAAAGCCACTGTTTTGATTTCTTTTCCCCCAAGTTAAATCTATAGAAGAACTTGGTTCTCTCAGAAGTGAAAGCACTTTGCCTTATCATAAAATTCCCTACCCCTCTCCATGGAACTAGCAACTTATAGCATTATGGACGGAGGATGAAGCTCTGTAGGTAACATTCTGTCTTGAACTTATTATTGATTCAAACAAGTGCAAGGAGATGCAGAGTAAAATGCTGGATCTCCTTATAATCAACATGTAAGGGACATTTTTTTAAGTTCCATTTACTGAACACTTGTCCCATGTTTTATGTAAATACTTGTATAAGTTACCTTACAAAACAGTCCCAAATTGGTATCTCAGAGGTGGATTTAGCGTATAGAAATGTTTCATTTGGCCCAATGGACTTAGCTACTTTTTTTTTTTTTTTCAACGTTTATTTATTTTTTGGGGGACAGAGAGAGACAGAGCATGAACGGGGGAGGGGCAGAGAGAGAGGGAGACACAGAATCGGAAACAGGCTCCAGGCTCTGAGCCATCAGCCCAGAGCCTGACGCGAGAACTCACGGACTCTCGAACTCACGGACCGCGAGATCGTGACCTGGCTGAAGTCGGACGCTTAACCGACTGCGCCACCCAGGCGCCCCTGGACTTAGCTACTTTTAAAAATTCTGAGATTTCACAAGAAACTATAGATTTCTGGTGTCGTTTTTTTTTTTAAAAAGAGCTGGCAACAGATCACATTTGCATATGAAAACAACAATCAGCTGGAAGGGATTAGAAAATGATACTGAGATTTTAGTCCTTGAAAATTTAGCTCAGAAACATTTGCAAAGCAACATTTTTTCTTTCCCTATAAAAATGAAGACTCTTACTGCTTCTCTCCCCCAAGAGACCATACCATATTCGCTCCAGTGCGTCCAGCAAGGAAGTCGCGCACATGTTTGAGACGGCTATTGTGACTTACCCTTCTGCCTGGTCACAGGAAATGGTGTCACTACTTAAGAAGGTAAGAAGGAGGACAGCATGACAAAAGCAAGTGGTAAAAAGAAGCATGCTTTCTGGTTGGAGGGAAGTTAGTCTGCAATCCTGGAGGCGGTCATGACAACGTACATTTCTAGAGTGGGCTTTGCACCGAACAGCTTTCAAACACATGGTTTCATGAAGGCAACACAGGTGTCCTCTTGCTCAGCCATCTCAAACTCAACTATGTCCAAGATGAAGTCCCTGACCTCTGTCTCCTGGACTTTGTGTGATGTTCCCTTTCTCGGTGACTGGCCTCTGCATCCATCCAGTTATGGAAGCCAGAAACGAGAAATGGTCCATCTCATCTCCCCCGTTTCCAATTCATCGCTAAGTTCTGTAATCTGATTTCGTAAATATCTCTTGAATCTGTCACTTCTCTTTATCTCTACTGCTATCCCCCCAGTCCTACTGCCATCACGTCCTGCCTTATAACTGGTTTGTCCTGTACACTTTTGCACACTCCAGTCTGTTCTCCCCCCTGCCCCATAACGATCTGTTCAAAGCAAAATTGTCTTCTCATTGTTCTCAGAAAAAAGATCAGAATCGTTGGTATGGTATAAAGGTTCTAAAGCCTTTAAGCCACTCAAGCCTTATTTTGGACTTTTATTCCCCTTTTGACTACACATAAACTGCTTCAGCCTTCTTTTTCTCTTCTCCTTTTCCTCCCCCTCCTCACCAGCATCTCTCAATTTCTCACCACCAGACCTTTGCATTTGCTAGTCCCTCTGCCTGGAACAGTGCTCCCATCCCCAGCACTACCAGCTCCCTCCTTTATAGAAATCAGTGCTACTCACTGGGATTCATTGACTGGTTCAAGTTCATGCATTGCTTCCTACTGGTCCACAGGAAGTCCAAAAATTGAGAGAAGCCTTTAGAGATTGTTGTATCAGTTTGATACTGCTGATGCCTCTGAGTACATGGTCAGTGGACTCATCTCGTTGAACAGGGTGTAACACAAGTCACAAGTTGTGCATGGTGTAACTCTGCATATTAGCCATGCACAGTAAGACCATGTATGGATCTCACTGGATTGGAAATTAAAACAAACAGAAATAATTGGCCCTTCTATACAGTTTGAGAAGCACAGCTTTAGACTTCAGCTTAAATATCACTTCCTCAAGCAGCTTTCCTCTGTTTTAAGCTCACATAGCAATGTCTTTCCTTCATATCATTGTTTTTAATTTGAAACTATGCATTGCATGTGTGTGATTCTTGGGTTAATGATTATTGTCCTCTAAGCCACATGAGGAGGCAGCATGTCAGGCTTCTTCACCATGTTATCCTCGGCATCTAGCACAGAGTCTGACAGGTGGGAAAATCTGGTACTTGAATAAATGAGGTCCGTAGTGTCCGTCAGATTTTCCATGTTCACGGAAAAGATTAGTAGCAATTGTAGCAGCAGCTAAGTCGTATGTATTGAATGATTATATGGAACAAAGAATGAGGAGCCCCAGAGGATGCACTTGGTTTTCTTCAAAGAGGGAAAATTACACAAGTCATGGCCAGTTAAGGACAAGAGCTTTGAGGGCCGAAGATTCATACTTGTACTTCTTGTCTTTGGGGTCAACTTCCCTGTTTTGGAATAGGGATATTGATAATGTCAAGAATAGTGGGGGCATTTTCCATAATCAGATTTTCCTCAGTTCCAAGAGAGCCCTCCTCACCCCACAATTACACCCTGATGATCCACAGCTATAGTCTCCAGGAATGTTCTCAAGGAGAACTGACATTTCCCATTTGGGCCACAGGACTGATGTGATACTGGCTCTAAGTGGTTATGTGAGGGGAAAATCTTTAATCCCTGTTAGTAAAACCCAAAATTGTAAACAGTAACCTTGGTTGCATCTTTGTCACACCCAGTATATTTTTATTAAGTATTAATATTAACAGTTGCTATAATATTAATAGCAAGAATAATTACTACTAATGATTAATAATTATTAATTATTTGATGATGAATTAGCAATATGAACAGCTAAAACTTTTAGTAGGAAATGAATTTCATTTATAGAAATGCATGAGCATTCACCACCTAATAAGAACAGACCTTCTCTTAGGTACTTTGTGTACATGGCTCATTTAATCCTAGCTACAACCTTATGAAATAGACAATTATCCCCTTCAATATATACTAAATGAAGATTGAGAGGACAAACTTGACCATAGTTAATAAAGTAGGGGAGTCAGGGGCACCTGGGTGGCTCAGTCGGTTGAGATCCCGACTTGGGCTCAGGTCATGATCTCACAGTTTGTGGGTTCGAGCCCCACGTCGGGCTCTGTGCTGACGGCTTGGAGCCTGCTTCAGATTCTGTGTCTCCCTCTCTCTCTGCCCCTCCCCCGCTTGTGCTTTGTCTCTGTTTCTCAAAAATAAATAAATGTAAAAAAATTTTTTTTAAATAAATAAATAAAGTAGGGGAGTCAGGAATCAAAGGTATGATTGACTCAGTAGGACAGTCTATTTTCACTCACCACACTGCAAAAACCAACTTATAGCTTATTCTATTCATGCATTATCGCATTATTTATGTATGTATTACCTATACTATTTGTTTATAGGGTGAAGGAAGGGGGACGCTGCCTTGTTTCCTTCAGTTCTACACCTGAAACCTTTTTTAGAAGGAATTTGCCCCACTTTGACTTTCATGATGATCTTGATATTTGTATTCCATTGGCAGCTACTTGAGCTGAATCCAGACCAACGATTCTCTCACTTGTCCGACGTTCAGAACTTCCCATATATGAATGACATGAACTGGGATGCAGTTTTGCAGAAGAGGCTTATTCCAGGTTTTATTCCTAATGTGAGTCAATCCTAACCAACCCATCACAACTCTCATTCAGTTACACACAGAGTCTCATTAGATAACCTCACCGGTGTCCGAAGACAGCCCCACTCCTGTCTTACAGATGAGAAGATGGTAAATGGGCCACCAAAGTTCACGTGGCTAGCAAGTGGCCAAGTGGGATTCTAACCCAGGTCTATCTGTGTCTGGAGTCCCAGCTCCTAACCATTTTTTGTGGCATGCTTCTACTGGAAGGAAGCTCTAGTCCTCCAAATAGTCATTCCCAGGAATTTTCTCGTTGAGGAAACAGTGTTTTCTCTGATTTCAAAGATAAAGAAATTTGTGTCCATGGAGTTCTGTGAGTCACAGCATTGAAAATGTTGGATTTATTTTTACCATTCACCCCTCTTCCTTAGGTGGTTCTCTGCCACAGAGCCATACTTGTAAGCACTAATAGCCAAAGGGAAATAATTCCCACTGGATGACTACCTGGCTGAGGGACATCTGTGGCCTTCTGCAGACTGCTGGTAAAGCTGCAGTCCAGAAGCTTCAGCCACAGGGCCCACATGAGGCCTCTAGCTTCCCTCTTCTAGCCTAATTCTACACATTCAGTATCGGGTAGATCAGCAGGATAATGAACTAAAGGGGACAGTTGAGACAGTTCAGAGTTTTCTGTTCAGCCCAAGGGAGGCGCAAGCTGTGGGCTTCTGGGGGTGTGATCTTTCATGTGCAAATAGAGGCATGGATGGGTGGGTCGGCTGAAGGTGCAAGGTGGGCGACACGAGTGGGCAGTGTGGTGGAGTTCTGGGGCAAGGAGTTGCTACCTCATGGAACAAGAGGGTAGGTCTAGATCTCAATTGGCCACATTGCAGAATCTGGTAGGGGCAGGTGTACCTTGGCTGATGGACACATGACACCATGGAGATCTAGACCCATCTCCTGTTGCTTACGTTCTTCCTCCTACACACCACACCACAGCAATTAGCCATTGATGCTGCCTCAGGAGGGGTTCTACATATGATTCTCTGACTTTATTGTCAATCTGAATCACCTGGGGAGGTTGTTAAAAATGTACTTTCCTCAGCCTCATGTTCAGAAACGATGACTCGAGGTCTGGCTGGGGAAATGAGAAGTTGGGCAAACAACTCAGGTGATTCTGATCTATGTGATCATTAGAACACACTTTGAGAAACCTAACTTACAAGCTCAAACTTTAGGAAGATAACTATTATTTGATCTCCTTTCTCACTCACTGAGGGCTCATGGGGAGTTTAGAAAATATAAAAAATAGAAAATCAAAAAAGAGTATGAAAAACAATGCTGGCAATAAATTATCTGAAACCAAGGAGGAATCACAGCTCCTTATTCTTGGACTGCTCCATCAAAACTAGGTGTTATTCTTGCCATTTGTCCTGGTGTATTTGTAGAATGATACGGAATCAAAGGAGTGAGCCAACTTGTCTTTCTTGCAGAAAGGCAGGCTGAATTGCGACCCCACCTTTGAACTTGAAGAAATGATTTTGGAGTCCAAACCTCTTCACAAGAAAAAGAAGCGCCTGGCAAAGAAGGAGAAGGAGATGAGGAAATGTGAATCCTCTCAGGTAAGCAGGTCCCCGCCAGACTCAGAGTCATGGGACTCTTCCTGATGGCCATGGTTTGTGGGAGAGCTTCTGGTGGGAGGTCCCCTCAACACGCCCCGTTTCTGCTTTGTGAATGCACAGAGTCACTGAGCCCTGGGCCTTCTGAAATGGCAGGCAGGGGCAACTGTGGGGACCCAAGCCAAGCAGCAATGTTTCACTGCAGATTCTCTAGCTCTGTCATTAACTGTATTCGGTCATTGACCTCTTCAAACTCTCATTTCAAATTTTACAATTTCCTGGGGAGCCTCCAATTGGCCAAGCCTCAATGAGGTGACTCCTCCTAAAATTACAGGCAAGGGGCTGGTTCTAAAGTACACACGTGGCTGTTTGGGGCCCCCCTCCAACCTTAGAGGTGGTGCCTGTTCTTTGTCACAAGCAAAATTTCATTATATCCGGCAAAGCAGAAGTGAAAAGTGTCTATTCACAGAAAAAATTGAATTCTTATGGATGCTATGGCTGGATTTCAGGCTGTGTTAAAATTGTTTTGTGACTATATTATTCTCTGTTAGTTGGAGCTCAGATTTCAATGCAGTCACTTGCAGGGACTCAGGAGAATTTGAGACTCACATGTGGTTCTGTGTATTATAATGATGGTGAAGTAGTAAACACTCACTTTGCATCTAATGGTCATCCATCTATCCATATACCCATCCATTCTTCCCCCTGCCTACCCACCACTCAGCTAATGGTCATCCATCCTTTCATCCATCCATTCATTTAGGCTGCTTTTGCTGAGTATATATTATCTGCCAGGCCCATTGCACTGAAGATTATATGAATGAGACAGAATCCCTGCATTCAATGACATCCCTGTCCTCGAAGGTAGCTCTGCAAACAAATAAATATTCTCAATGTCCTTAATGTCTCCAGTCCTCCAGGGCCACTATATCCTGTAACAGCCAAACTACCAAAGTCCACATCCTTTCTGTTCACAGAATGGGCCTTTTGCCAAACGCCCACCTGTAAATATTTTCTGCAGCCCTCTAAGGAATGTTCAGCTCTGTCACAGATTCATCTTACTTGTTGCTTCGCCACACCTTCCTCCTAATGATCTGTTCTTCATATCGTAACCAACTAGCTTCTCCAGACTTGCTCCTGCCTATGCACCTGTAGAGCTTGCCTATACAGGCTTCTCTGTGAACAGGCCGCCAATGTAGCCAAGACCAAGAGAACATATCTATTACAAGTATTCTAAAGTTTCAGTGATGGCAGCAGTTTGTGAATAACCTTTGACCGTGCCTCACACATTCTACCCGGTATGTCTACCTTTCCATCCATCCTTGTACTATGTCATTCCTGTCTTCGCTCAAAACCCTCTAACCACAAAGATCCTATAGGTATCTGACCCTCAATAACTACTGGTTTTGTCCTTCTTTAGGACCCTTGCTCTTCCCTTTTCCTTCAATGTTCTACTCTCAGCTCTTCACATAGGGGGTTTCTGAAGATAAGGTCCTTCACAACTGCTCTCTTTCTCAGCCCCTATTTCTAATTACTTCATGACATTAACATAATTTATAAGTATTTATGTGTTTGTGTTTCTTTTTCTATCCCACTAAAATGAATTCTTCTTGTGGGAGAAGACCCGGTCTTACCCACCAGTGTCTTCATGGTAATGCCTTAAAAGAGTATTAATACAGTATAGATTCAATAAATAAGAGCATCGGGATACTGGAAGGAAAGAAAACTTTATAACTGGACAGTGAAAATTAGGCACTGCTGTTCTTAGAGTTACAAGGTCATGCTACCCCACCAGACATTCTTCCCGGAGCCACCTCTTATCCTAGTTCTTCCCCACACCCAGCCCCTGGAAGCCTCTGTCCTGATGGGAAAGGCTATAAGCCACTTACCCACAGTACAGAGCTTAGCATTTTCTAAAACCATGCAAAAGAAGGAAACTGTTTCCTCTTTCTTCCAGGCTTCCATCAACCTCAAAATCATTTACCAGGAAGTGGCTTTGCCTATAACAAAAACAGGCCCTTCCATCTCTAATCAGAGAGGTGTACATCCTCTTGGTCTTTTTGTTTTGTTTTAATGTTTATTTATTTTGAGAGAGAGAAAGAGGGAGTGCGATCTGGGGAGGGGCAGAGAGAGGGGGAGAGAGAATCCCAAGCAGGCTCTGCGTGGTCTGCACACAGCCCAACACAGGGCTTGAAGTCACAAACCTTGAGATCGTGACCTCAGCTAAAATCAAGAGTTAGGTCCTTAACAGACTGAGCCACCCAGGCGCCCCTTCATTTTGTTTTGTTTTTAAATTTTTATTGGGGTAAAATATGTATAACATCAAATTTCCCACTTTAACCATTTTTAAGTGTACAATTCAGTGGCATTAAGCACATCCATGATGTTGTACAGCCACCACCACTATTTATTTCCGTAAGTTTTTGTTACCTAAACCCCATTCGTTTTTTCTTTAATTTCTTTCAGCAATGTTTTGTACTTTTGAGAGTACAAAGTTTTCACCTTGGTTATACTTATTCCTAAGTATTTTATTCTTTTGAACACTATGGAAATTGAATTATTAACTTCCTTTTTGGATTGTTAATTACCGGTGTGTAGAAACACAACCAATTATTCTGTGTTGATTTGTTTACTGCAATTTTACTGAATTCATTTATCAGCTTTACAGCTTCCTTGTGGGTTCTATGGGACTTCCTCCCTCTAAGACCATGTCATCTGCAAATAAGGATAACTTTACTCCTGCCTTTGCAGTTTGGATGCCTTCTTTCCTTTTCTTTCCTAACTGCTCTGGCTAGAAATTCTAGGACATTATTGAATAGCAATGGTAAGAGCAGGCATCTTTGTCTTTTTTCTGATCTTAGTGGGAAATACTTTCATCTTTTACCATTGAGAATTGTGTTAGCTGTGAGTTTTTTGTAAATGTCATTTAGCTTGTTGAAGAAGTATACTTCAACTCCTAGTTTTTTAATGTTTTTCTCTTGAAGGGCTTCGGATTTTGTCAAATGCCTCTTCTGGGTCAAATGAGATAATGTTGTGCATTTGTCTTTTCCTAGTTCTATTAATGTGATGTGTTATGTTGGCTGGTTGTCTTATGGTGAACCATTCTCACACTCCTGGGATCAATCCCACTTGCTCATCGTGTATAATCTTTCAATATGCTGTTGGATTCCAATTGCTAGTATATTGTTGAAGATTCTTGCATCTATATTCATAATGAAAATTGTCCTATAATTTTCTTTACTTTTGATGTCTTTAGCTGTTTTACTATTGGGGTAAAGCTGGGCTCATAGAATGAGTTAGTGTTCCCTCTTCCGTCTTTTCAGAAGAGTTTGAGAGATTGGTGTTATTTCTTCTTTAAATATTCAGTAGAATTTACTGCTGAAGACATCAGATTCTGGGCTTTTGTTAGAAAGTTTCCATTTCGGATTCTTACTTGTAGGTTACCATTTACTTGTTACAGGTCTGTGAGATATTTTATTTTTTCTGAAGTCAAGGTAGGTAATTTGTGTTCTTCTAGAGCTCAGTTATTTGCATCTTTTCTCTTTTTTATGTATGGCTAAACATTTGCCAATCTTGTTAATCTTTTCAAAGAAATGACTTTTGATGCCATTATGTCTATTCTCTATTTCATTTGTCTTTGCTCTCATCTTTATTATTTCATTCTGCCAGATTTGGGTTTATTTTGCTTTTCTTTTTCTAATTCATAAGAGTATGAAGTTAGGTTACTGATGTGGGATATTTCTTCTTCTCTAATGTAGACATTTACAGCTATAAAACACCCTCTGAGCATTATCTTCAATGCATTCCCTAAGTTCTAATATCTTGGGTTTGTTTGTCTGTTTTTATTTATTTATCTTAGAGTATTTTCTACTTCTTGTGATCGTTTTTGACACAATTGTTGTTTAAGAATGTGGTGTTTAATTTCCACATATTTGTGAATTTTCCAGTTTTACTTCTGTTGTTGATTTCTACCTTCATTTTGTTGTAGTCATAGAAGATAATTTGTAAGATTTTAATCTTTTAAAATTTATTGAGAATGTTTTGTGGCCTAACATATGGTTTCCTCCCATGATTTCTTTTAACTCTTTGAGCATATTTAAGATAGTTGTTTTCAGGGCGCCTGGGTGGCTCAGTCAATTGGGCATCTGACTCTTGATTTCAGCTCAGGTAATGACCCCAGGATCATGAGATGGAGCCCCACCTTGGGCTCTGCACTGACAGCATGGAGCCTGCTTGGGATTCTCTCTCCCATTCTCTCTGCCCTTCCCCTGTGCTCGCTTGCTCTCTCTCTCTCTCTCTCAAAATATATAAACAAAGTTAAAAAAAAAAAAGATAGTTGTTTTAAAGTCTCTGTCTAGTATATCCACTGTTTGGGCTTCCTCAGGGATGATTTTCGTCAATTGATTGTGTTCTTCTGAATTGACCCTACTTTCCTGTTTCTTTGCATGCCTTATGGTTTCATTGTCAAACACCTGACATTTGAATATCGTAAGGCAGTATTCTCTCCTTCCATAGGGCTTGCTGTTTTACGATTGTTGAAGGCTATACTTGTCCCTTTTTAAGTAACTTTTACAAACTACTTTTGCAAACACTGTATTCCTTGTCATGTGTCATCCCTGCAGTTCCTGTTATGTTAGCTTGTGTTTAGCTAATATTTTGACAGATTCCCTTGAACACCAGGAGCATTTTTTAAGTTGCGTTTTTTCTTGATTTAGTGTTTCCTTGGTTAAAAAACCTTTGATTGCGTTCCAAAATTCTGACAAAGTGAGCTCTGACAGTTTCTGCTTGTTTTTTATGTTTCTGTTGATGGGAGCTTGGCACTGCCTACTCTAATTTTTTGTTTTAGTTCCTCCTAATCTTGTACCCTATGTTTAAAAATAAAAATTATTTTGCTTCAAAATAAAGGTTGGTATTCTCCCAAAGAGGAATCAGAAGGATCGTGAATTTCAAAAGAGTACTCTATCTCTACTCTTTGACATCAAGTTTTTAAAAATGTGAGGATC